GTTTTTGCTCTTCTCCTGACTGGTTTTGGTAATAGTTTGATCTATCAATTGGCTCCTCTTCGTCGTCGCTCTGTTAGTACGTCATATGCTTCGTTGATCTGATTGGTTTATTTGGCCCGTCTATCATCAACATAGGCCAATCAGCTAACCAGTATTTTCTCCCCTTCCCAAAATTACTTCAACGGAAGGTTTCTAGATGGATATGCGGAGTAAATCCATCTGGCGGAATCAGGTTACTCTAAAGCGGAGGTCTTCAACAAGGGGTCCATGACCCCTAGGGGGTCCACGGAGGTACTGCATGGGGGTCGCAAAAGTTTTGTTGATTAGACTCTTTTTTTATATTCCCCCTGTGCAATTTTTTTCCCAATAAATAATATGTCTTTAAATACACATTACCATGAATTCAACACACTGTATTGAACAGATACATTTAGGCAGAAGATGTCTTTCAGTTATCAATGCACATCCGAATCAGAAATATTCTAATAATCTAATAATCCCAGGGTGAAATTACTTTCGTTACATGTCTCAATAGGTCATACAGTGACTATAGGATCGGTTTGATTACACAATTGTATACAATATATACAATTAAGGGGTCCCCGCTCCATCTCACCATCAGTTTAGGGGTCCTTGGCCTGGAAAAGGTTGAAGACCCCTCTAAAGGTGCCTTCACACAGAAGTAAAGAAATAAAACAACTGATTAAAGTTGACTTGGAAGAGGTTAGCAATACAGTGAAGAGGTTTTTTTTTAGGTGCCATTAGAACTAGACATTTGGATCTATCCCTAGAAGGCAGATAGAGGCTCCTTCTATTGGATGACTCTGAGAACCATATATATATATATATATATATATATATATATATATATGTGAGCTTCACATTAGAGCCACTTCTATCCAGTCGAAGTACAAAACATTAACTTAATTATATGCTGACAAGTCAGTAGGTGGCAGTAAAATAATCAAACCCCAAACCCTCACAGAATAAAACAATTTATTTTCTAATTTTTGTCACATTCTTCCCAAAACTGTGAACTGTTTTTAATATGGAAAGAGAAAGTAAATATCTACAGAGCATTCTACACCAAAGCAATGCCTGAATAGTTTGTTATGCTGACATGCATCACAGTCGAGCTTTACCAATCAGCCATTCCCTTTTATCTTTCTGTAGGATGTTATTTTCCTCACTCCTGTCCCCATCTACCTTGGCTTTACTTCATCTTTATCAGATTGGCATTAAAGAGTGAAATGGTTAGAGGTAATAATTAGCGAGGTAAATAACCGCAATCTCTCCGACCTTGACTCATAAATTGATTAGATGGCACATCATCAACACTTTGTTCTGCTGTTGAAAGAAAAAGAGCAGCAGCTTTAGGGTGTAAATGAGTCTGCAGTTGGAGCCATGATGTTCAGGTGGATGATTCTGCTGTTCTCTGTGGGTCTGGTAAGTACTGTGTGCATTTCAAATAATGGACATGATTCCTTCAGAGGAGTTAAATGCAGCTTTCTAAGAGCCTTTTGGGTCTTTTTTATTTTACTTCACAGACTGCAGCAAAACTGTCAGATGAAACAGGTACGAAAACTAAAGAGCTACTAATGCTCTAAACTGAAACTTCCCTGAAATATGATTTCAAAGCCTTTTCTTTTACCAAACCTTGAGTTTCTTTAGGTTTCATTTTTTACTTACAGGTTAAAACTGTGTTAAAAATGACCTGACATGAGAAGTGGCCACACTTAAGCTGTATTTTCATTGAGTAAAAATGTTTTCATTAATGATAAAGTTTTTTTTTTTTTTATTTATTCTACAAATTTTAGATTACATTTTTTTCATATTTGTCTTTTTCAGATTGAGTTTAATTATTGGATTGTTTTCACATCGCATATTACAGTCAACACTCGCTTTTCACAATAAATATATATTGTTACTAAAGTCAATGCAGACCAATGGAAGTCTATATTCATAGCCGAGACTCGTCAGAGCTGCTCAACATATATTTGCAACATATTCTCATTATCAGTTCGTATGAATTACGAAAAGTTATGCACAGTATTTCGTATGTTTTTGACGTTTTTCCTCGAAAAAACACATCAGTGCGCATGCGCAGGCAGACAGACGAAAAAGGCAGATCTGCGGACGGACGTAAAACTGGGAAAAACAGTGCAATAATCACTTCTTCATGTCTCTAACTACGTTGCTTGCTGTTTTATATCTTAGGGTTAGGGTCAGGGTTAGGGCCAATTGTATCTTAAATTCTATGTTATTGAATGGTGCGTAAGATGCGCATCCGCAAGGATATCTTGTCTCGAGGCAAGACGTAAAAATACGACGAAAAAAAACGTCAAAAACGTGCGAAATTACGGTGCATAACTTTTCGTACGATTTCATACGAACTCATAATGAGAATACACTGAGCTGCTTGCACTCTGGCAGCTGTATGTAATCCATAGAAATCCATGGAAAGAATAAACACAAAGCATTTGAACAGCTTTGGAGTCACCCTTCAGCATGCGTAAATACGCACAGCGATGCGTATTGGGCATTCAAGTAACAGATTAAAAATTAGGGCAGAGGCTGAGATGTATGGAGGACCAACCCTGCCATATTTAAAAATAAATACAGAAGTAAATAAATGCTCAGTAAACATATAAGCATACAATTAATTGCCAACAAAAACACTATCAACAAATAAATGTAAGTAGAAATTCAATTATACAGCAAGATATAAATGTATATAACTCTTTTAATTAGCTTCTTTATTTATTTGCCTTTGTAATATTTACCTTTTTTTTTTTTTTTACATTTCTGACTGCTCTCATGTTAAAAGGAAAGGCAGAAATACAAAGGACAAAAAAATAAATAAGGTAAATATTACAAAGGCAAATAAATAAAGAAGCTAATTAAAAGAGTTATATACAGTTATGTCTCACTGTATAATTCAATTTCTGTATTTTTGTTGGCAATTAATTGTATGCTTATATATTTATTGAGCATTTATTTATTTCTGTATTTATTTTTAAATATGGCAGAGTTGGTCCTCCATAGAGATGACAGATCTAATGCTCAAAATATTAACCACAGAAGTTTCAAATTATGACAATAAAAAAGTAATAGAAGCAAATGGATAAAAATCAGTCGCCTGATCATGCGAAACGATGCGGCAAATCAAGCCCCGTGCGCCAAAAGCGCCCCTAAGGCTGGAAATAAACTGACCACTTGATGAGACTGAGCTACAGTGGATGATCTAGAAGCCACTTCAACTCCAAGTCATTCTGTCATTATTTATATTTTTACAATAACATATTAGGGGTTTTCTCTTCTCCTTCTCCCCTGCCTGCATCTTCAGTGATCATGATGGGCCAGTCGGTGGGTGTTTGTGAAGGAAAATGTAATCAGTGCTGTGCAGCACGAAGGATGAACAGTGGGAAACATGCATGAGTACAGAGGTTAAATCCACTCTTTGAATCTGAAAATCTGTGCGAGGAGCGTTAGACTAAACCCCTAAATGTTCTTAAGAAAAAAAAAAATGCTCATATTGTAACTGTGAGCAACTTTAATGTATAACAAATCTGGTGCCGCTGCACATCCGACATGTTGTAGCCGCAAAGATATACAGTAGATTAGTTCTTTGTTCGCATATTAAATGTTTTGTAGACACAGTTTTATATTTTCTGCACATAAATTAGTATTACTTAGCCACAAAATAGTATATTGTTGCAATAAATGAGTGTGATTTGTTTTTTCAACTGTGTGCACCACCATATATCTCTCATATTCCAGATATAGCAATTCCAAAGGTCTGTACTCTTTCACGTGTAGCTGTGTCCAGTTGTCTTGGGCTGTTATTGATTTCCCTTTTGGCAGGCCATATTGAGATTTATTAGAAGCGCTGTCCTCTCTTTGGCTCCATTTGTAGAACTATAAAAAAGGTTATTCCTGGTCAAAACTACATTCCTCCTAGTCAGAACTTTAAATATAGATATCCCAAATTACAGTTTTGTCAGTAAAACGTACATCTCAGGATGCAAAAAATATAATTGTACTAGCAAGTGTGAGGTTTGGTAGAGGTTGGAAGAGGACCCAAATGCAGACACTAAAGTGGTTTAATATCCAAATGGGGAACAGAAGCAAAATTCTACAAACAAAATACCTAAATCCAGGAAAACAGACATGAAGAGCAAAGAAATGACGAGGAACCAGCAAACAGTGACTGAACAGGAGGTGTATATATGGGAGACAGAAACAAAGACCAGGCTAATCAGCAGATTGGGAGCAGGTGTGAACAGAAGAACCTAGAAGGGAGCTAAGGGAAAGGAGACCAAAGAGGGCAACAGAGGGCAATCAAGTAATACATAAGAACTCAAATACAACCAGAAAACACCACAAAATGGGAATGAAATAAAACTAGAAAACACAGAAAAACGTGAATCAAAGTGAAAGTTTAAACTCTAAAAGACAAATTAAACTGAAACAAAAATGTAGAATCATGACAGCAAGAATAAACTTTCAGATAACCAGACATCTTTACACATTTTAACTGGCATTTATTTATTAGTTTGAGTGATAATTGTAATATATAATTTTGTCATGACAACGCTATGATGACAAAATATGTTGCACCTCATCGTGCAGCAGAATACAATGATTTCCACACCTTTGATTTCCGTATACTGTTCCTTTTCAGAACTACAGTGCATCAAAAGTAAAACACATGCTTTAAAGGTGATAGATTATAGGGAGTGGGGTGATGGAACAGAGGGGGTTTGGTCCTAGATGCAGCCATCACAGGTTCAAGTCCCTGCCTGTTGACCTTTGCCGCATGTTTTCCCACTCTTTCCCATGCCCTGTCTTTCTCCATTCAAGAATAATACAATAAAGGCCAGTAGAGCCTAAAATAATCTTTAAAAAATCCAGTTTATTTCTCCATGTTTAGTAGCATGTTAGATGTTTTCAATGTGCCCACATTCCAATATGCTGACTTGTTTCCCTTCTGCAGAAACTGATGTTGATCAGGGCCAAGACTGGGACATCTTTGACATCAACAAAGGTTTGTTTGGGATTATTTCTGGTCATACCGATTTTCTAAGTTTGTGCTCGTACCTTTATCGTTACCAACTATCCTTTGCAGCCACTGGCCTGGACCTTCTTGAGGGGGATATCGAGGAAGATGAAGTGAGTCATGAAATGATCTCGTTTCATATAAAAGATTTTTTTAAATCACTGCATCTTTTATCCACACCAATTTGCCAAACTAAAATTTTCTGAAAAAAAAACAGTAGGGCTCTAACAATAATATGAATCAAGATTACCTGATGTCACGGTGTCTGTTGTCATGGTCTGCTGTTTTGGGTTTTTGTTCAGGGTTTGTTCTTTTCAGTTGGACTTATCTTGTTTTAATTTATAGCATAGTTAAACTTTTCTTTGTAGTTTTCAAGTTATTGTTTTATGTTGATGCCCTGTGATTTTTATTAGCCTATATCAGGCCTTTTCCTCTTTAGCGCTCACAGTTATCTTTAACTTATGCTTATCAATGGTATTTTAGTTATATCATTTTTGTCTCGTTTCCCGTTGTTATCTCAGTAACACCTTTAAGTCCTGGTTTACCTCCCTGTCGCCCCCTACTGTCCTTCCACCCCCTTCTCTGTACACTTGCTTTCTACTAGACACGTACTCCAGTCATTGTCCCATTTTTCTCCTCCTCGTATATATTCTCCTTCCCTTCAACCGCTCATTGCTGAATTGTTTCCAATTCAGTGTATTTATATAGCACAAATTTACAACAAATGTCATCTCAAGCTACTTTCCAGAGACAATTCCACCAAATCATACAGACAGAGACCTAGAGAGGTCACAAGCATATCAGAAAACATGCCAACTCCACACAGCAAGGCCTGGAATCAAACCTGCGATCTTCTTGCTTCAAGGCAACAGTGCTACCCAGTGCACTACCATGCAGCCCTACCCCTGAGTAAGGATAGGTTCATCAGATCTAAAATGGAGGAGGAGATCAAAGGGAGTACGTCCTTAAACAACGTGGTTTACACTGGATCTAAAATACATGTTGAAGGCTTAAAGGAAGATAATAGTTTTTCTAACACTGAAAGTTGAACTGGATGAAAGCAGTCTAAACCTGGTTCAGATTCTACATTCACCTCCAGAGGTGTCAAGTAATGAAGTACAAAAACTTTGTTGCACCATTATTCATTTTTCTTCCTACTTCTGACTTCTACTAATTACACTTTCACACAAGTATCTGTACTTTCTATTCCTTACATTTTTAAAACAAACGTTACTCGTTACTCTTGGCTTCGGTTTAATGTTTATAAATATTTATCTACGTCAT